ATACCATAGATATGTATATAATTTGTCTTAAACCTAGACTGATATACCGTCTTCGCTCAGAATCGTTTTTCTTATACAATGATATTGAATCATTGAATTCAAATTTAATAGCATCCATTATACAGTGACCCACTTGTAACCTACTGTACAGCAGAGCGACATCCACTTACCCACCTTTTTTTAATTTTATTGTTAATAGTAACAGTTCTTTGTTTCTTTTCCATTTTTAAAAAACTGTTTTCGATTTTTTGCTGCATTTTATTATTTAAGTTAAATTATATTATATTTATGTATATGTTACGGGCAAAAGTCGAAATCGGGCAAACCTCAGAAATGCCCTGGCAAAACGCGAACTGCCCATAATCCTTGGGCAAAATGTCACATTTCGGCTTTTGACCGGGTAAACCTAGTTATGACCAACCTCATTTGGGCAAAACCGTATACTGACTTTCATCTTAATGGCAAGACCGTAGTGTGTTATATACGTTCGCTAATATTAAATACAAATAGTGATAAAACAAATATTATTGTACAAATATAATTGAATAGGTACACTTAAACAATAATACAAATTTTAATATTTATTTTAACATTTTTAACATTATAAGAGTAGGTACCTAATATTATTATTTGTTTATTTTTATCCGAGTACTTAATATCATCATATTTTTATTATGATTTGTGTGTATTCTATTATATTTTCACAATATTTTATGATTATTATTTATTTGTATTTAATATTAGTGAAGTTATTTAATATGACGCTATGGTTTTGCCCAAATGAAGTTTAAATTTATTATTTTTTTAAATTATTTATTTTAACATTTTTAACATTATACGAGAGCTTAATATCATTATATTTTTATTATTGTTTAAGTGTATTCAATTATATTTGTACAATAATATTTGTTTTATCATTATTTGTATTTAATATTAGCGAACGTATATAAGACACTATGGTTTTGTCCAAACGAGGTTGGTCATAACTAGGTTTGCTTGGTCAAAAGTCGAAATGTGACATTTTTGCCCAAGGATTATTGGCAGTTCGCATTTTTCCCGGGCATTTCTGAGGTTTGCCCGATTTCGACTTTTGCCCGTAACATATACAGTTAATAATAAGTTAATTATAAGTAAAATTCAACGTATTAATCAAATTAAGTACTTTTGATTCATTGTATTTCTAGTTTAATACTGAATGTCTGAATATCTTTTCATGTTTTTGTATCAATAACGTGATTTTATTTTCAGTTATATTTTGGAGTACGGTGAAACTGAACAGTAATGCACCATGCACTAATACAGTATATAGTATACAAAGACTCATACCATGGGTTTTAATAAAATTATTTTTATTTAGTTTTTAAATATACTAATCATGCTGATTAATTAATCAATATAAGTTGAATACTAATAAAATATATAATTTTGATTGGGTTCAAAAGCATTTCACAGTAAATCTAAAAGGACAGACAAAAAATTATTGAGTACCGGATTCTCAATAATGTCAATTTTAAAAGAAACCTGGGAAATCCCTCTTCTGCAGCATAGAAAGTGACGAATGTACTACATCATCATTGAGAAGGTCGTTGTAATGGATATGTTAAATTTGAACTCAAAGATAAATCATTGCTTGCGAAAAACGATTCTGAGTGGAGACGGCCATCAGCTTATATTTCTGGGGATATTTACTGTAAATTCATATTGTTGTGGTTGGAATAGAGCAGTAGTCACGAAGTTGACTACGACTCACACAGTCATCGCATAGATTCATAGCAAAGTGTAAAAAAATTTTGTGGTTCCACGCGATCACCAATTTCCCGTGCTGTGATCTTATTGCGTCATCAGGTTTCCAACTAGGTCCCACTTGACCGGTAGTGAAGCGGTGCAACTCGTTTGCGCACAACATAAATAGTGCGTAACATATATTTTATATTTTTAAATTTGGACTTACCTAAAGTAATTGATTGTCGGTACAAATTATCAGTACAAATTACCAGCATATCAATAACCAATATATCATTAGTTATTATCATCATTGAAAATAATCGACGTGTATTAAACATAATATTTTTAAACAGTTGTTCGCTAGAAAGCGGTACTATAACTACTGACTATAGTGACTATGGATATCGAAATTTGTGATGTTTTTGAAACGCGTCGAGGTGAAAAGTGTATGAATATAGATAGTTATAAATTTAGAGAATTTCGATCTTTAAAATCTGGTGATACACATTTTAGGTGTACAAATAAAAAATGTTCCGTGAGTGCTGTAGTAAGGTTAGTTAATAATAAAAAATGTAAAATTTTAAAAATTATAAACACGCATACCCATGGGCCATGACATACGCATACACCACCATTCAAAATTAGTATAATTTTATAATTAATAGACTACTATTACAATTTATTAATAGTTTAATTTTAAAACTAATAGACTACTATTATTACTTCTTATACTAATAGTATAATTATATATTTATTCAGAACAAACACACACGTCATGCACATTTTTAATCACGCCTGTAAAAAACAGATAGTCCTAAGCCTATATTTAAGTGAGAAGGGAAATGTGCTGTTCTGCTCAAAGGTAAATGCTCGCAAACGAGTTGTACCTTTATCATTTAAACCTAAAATATGTGTGCGCAAACGATTTGTGATTTTGTGCTCAAACGTGCCGTAAAAAAAGTAAGTGTGCGCAAACGAGTCGCACATGAGTGAAGACCGCACATGTCTCCTCTTGGAGAGGGGGGAGGGTAGTATTATGCATATAGTGATATATACATAGATAAATAGTTCAGATGATCTCCCTACTACCCACTAATGATTAGAATTCACAAAAATCTTGAGGTCGTTTCAATGAACAAATTCAGAAAAAGAAATGCACATTGTTATTATTAATTTATTTTTTTATTAATAATAACTGTAGAGTCAAGAGGGACAACATTAAGGTTTACAAATTAATTTATAAGTAAAAACTAAAAATTAAATAAGAACACCAATAAAATTGATTTAGGTATTACCAATCAACTTATACTAGAAACTTTACTTGGTAGTCAATAATTGATAACCAGGTATCATATTATTAAATATTATAAGTACGTATAATAAATAATAAAGCTGATGTAATTATCTACTATATCATCTATCAGTATTATAACACTAAATAGTTAGTACTATCATCTATTGCAAATAATAGTAGGCAGTAGCCAGTAGTACTAGGTAGGTATACTCAAAGTCTTAAACACTTTGTATTTCTGATTTAACATATAAATAATTATCAATCTCTAATCATTTAATCTCACATACACACGTTATGTGGTAGTATTACCAGCTGTATTATGATTAGTAAAATAATTAATTAAGTTATTATTTATAGGCGACTAAAAAAAAAATTAAACTATTCATCTTCCAAGGGCCAAGGGGTGATATGTGATCTCTTTGCACCATTAAATGGTTGACCAATTGCCATGATGAATAGGTTGAATCGATTTTTGCCAAAAACAAAATAAATCACATATATTTACTATTAGTAGTTTTATTAACTTATAAGTCTATGCCGTAAGTAGAACGGCGTGAAAAGTCTCATGGTACCTATAACCTATAACCTATAACCTAGCTTGAAATTAATTTAAAACATTTAAAAATTTTATTGTGTACCTATTAAAAAAAAAATAACTAAAATCATTATTATTCATTTGAATATGAAAGTTTGTCAAAATTTGAACTTAGAAGTTGAAATGTCTATACAAAAAAATGCCTATTTATTTAAGTACCTATTTATTTTTGTTTAAGTTGCTGTAAGAACAACCTATGAGTGATCTATATGAGTATTAAAATATCATATTACTAGAAATATTTTGAAATGTTCGTAATTTTGACATAACAGTTTTAAAACCAAATGCTTATAAAAAAAATTGTGTTTCTTTGTATTTTCAATATTTTTATTATTAGTAAAACTTTTGAGGAATTTTGTATCAAACTGAAAAAATTAAATGCCTATTATAAAGCACAAAAAAAATTAATTTAATTTAATCATTTTTATTAAAATGATAGCATGTGTAGAAAATTATAGAATAAACAAACGGTGACAATTTAATGTATCAAAGGGTATTTGTTTTTGGATTAGGTAAACCAAAAAAAATGAAAATTGACTTCGTCAAATACTAGTTTTGAGTAAAAATTCCCATTTTTCCTCAATTTTTTCTGTTAATTTCGGTTATTTTAAAAAGTATAAGGAATTTTTTACTTCTGACCACCTTAAGTAGCAACCTGCAGATCCAGATCCATTTTCTACCCGAAATCACCCATAAAAATTGAAAGTAGAATATTTTTTACTGCTTCAATAGGTGATGAGTGATGATAGTCGGAAAAAAACACACATCATTGAAAAATCAATACATTCATCGATCCCCTCAGAATCTAAAATATATATCGTGCAATGATTTCATAGTTACTCTTATTAATTATACATGATTAAGTAATATTAGGTAATAATATACATAAACCTAAAGCTGGCTATACCAGTTAATAATACGCAGATGTGAATAGTTGACTTTTCCATCCATATGTTGACATGTGGCATCAATGTTTGGGTTTATGAGTCACTATTGGAAACAAAAATTTTCAGTTATGTAAAAATAATACAATTCATTGTATTAATTGTTGTATGTTACAAAAACTCTAAAAATAGAGTTATTGAAAAAATACGTAATACATATAATATATATATACTTACATAATTGATAAAATGTCTACCATTCAACTCGTGCCTAATTATTTTAATTTTGTTGTTTGGTTAAATGAAAAATATTTTAAAGTATTGTTTCATTTTCAATAACAATAATTACATACACTAGGTATTTGAGGTAAATACATTTTAAATGATTTAGGAGCTATGCATTTAAGTCAACTCGTGTTAATATTTAGGTTAGTGGTTTTTGGAAATGATCTCATGGTGATAATATCTTGTTTTTACTCACTTACACTTTATAATTTATAAAATGGCTAAATCAATTTATTTCAGTTTACTTTTACTAGTTTTGTGCTTAATATATGAATCGTGAGTTTTGAATAGTTATGTTTGATTAAAATATATTAATCATAGAATACTTAATAATTTAAATGTATTGATTAGGTATGGAAATCATCATATAGTTAAGCATACAAGATTGCCTTCACGTAGGATTTCTAGCAATGACGGTCCATATAGTTCATCATCGTCATCGTCATCGTCATCATCACCAACAACAGGAGCAGAAACAAATGGAGAGGTAGCAGATGCAGTAATAACATCAGAATCAGAACCAACATCATTATCACCGTCATATTTGAGGAGTAACATACAGCTTAAAAACATTTTAATATACGTATTTCCATATGTATTTATTTTTTGTTTTAGAATCATTTAGTTTGAACAATTATTCAGGGTATGGAAGAAATCCTGGATTAGGTCTAAATAGTAAATCTTTGAGTGGTAAATATTATGAACAACAACCAAATGATATGGATTCAGAAGATCTAAACAACGGACAAATACAAGATAGTATGAGTTCTCATTTTATGAATAATAAACCTCTAAGAGATGTATACTATAGAAACAATGGAATTAATAGACAAAATAGTATGACTCCAAGAGTTCTAAATAGTAAGCCTCTGAAGGGTCTATACAGTATAAACAACCAGAACGATAAGACTTTAGAAGATTCAAGGATAGGGAAAAGGCAAAATAGTATAACTTCAGAAGTTCTAAATAGTAAGCCTCTGAAGGGTCTATACAATATAAACAACCAGAATGATAAGACTTTAGAAGATCTAAACATCAGGAAAAGACAAAATAGTATACCTTCAGATTTTCAAGGCTTTCAAGGTAATGATAATCCAAGTATGATGAATATAATGAATTCTATGAAAAAACCATTAAATCAACAACATATTGTATTCAAATCAATAAGAAAATGTTGTATAAACGGTGAATGCCGTATGCTACAAGACGGGGAGGAATGTAGTATTGAAGACTATTTCGTAAGTAATTTAGATTAAATACAATTTACATTACATTTAAAAGTTACATAATTAAATAATTTCTACAGTTTTTAGTTTTAAATGATAGTTCATAGTATTAATAGTATTATGATTATATATATATACATATACATACTGATTACGATTTAATTAAAGAACAGGACTAAAAACTTGGGCAGACTGCTAGTAATTTTTCTCGAGAAAATTCAATGCTACTACGCCTTAGTAAAATATGTTTATTCATGCCTACTTTCTTAAATTAAATTAAATTAAATGTGCTCATCTAGGTACCCAATTAATAATATTTTTATAAATTGAATGCTAAACAATACTAAAAAAATATGCCTAAGTCTACAAAATGTAAGTATTTTTAATCTCTAAAGAAGTCTACGAGCTAGGTGAATAAATATTATGTATCCTGTATAATGTATACTGTAGTCTGTATTATCAACCATTGTAACAATATCTGAAATTTATAAATTTATAAATTTATGAAATTACAGAAAAATATGAAAAATAAACAACAACCAAATAATCCGATGTTCAAAATTTCCAGTAATGGAGACAATGGTCTGAACGATATAATGTCAAAATTCAAGTCATTTGGTCAAAGCTCGTTCAATAACTTGGGGGGTGATATGGGCGATTTTCAGGAAACGGGAAAACCGTCAAATATGCGATTGGGTTCAATGAGATATTCGACAAACGTTCCCTCCATTGGTTCGAGTAATGGTATGGGTTCATATGTTATGCCACAAAAAATAAAACCAATAAATTACCCTCACTCCAAACCTGTCGATTTAAGTGAAGACGAAGCTAATGAAATCCGAAATCAAGTCCTTCAAAAATCTAATTTGTATAGAGAAAAATATCAGCTTGAGCCATTTACATTGGATGATCAGGTAAGTGGACAGTTACATTGACTCAATGTATTCAATATACAATTCTGAAATAAATACATATTACCATAGGTTCATAAATTAAAATGAGTAGGTATTGGATATAACGAATATATTAACAGACCCAGGTGGGTTTTTGGATCTTTAACAAAAAAAATAACGCATTAACACATTAACACACATTCTGGTTAAATAAAAAATTATATTTAAGGAACAAGTAACTTTGCTATATCGGTATCAATGATTAATTGGTGCTCTGGTGCATTTATAGTATTTTTTTTTTTAATGTTTTATTAATTTTATATTTTACAAGTATACCCTCTAAAATGGTCGAGACAATAATCCAAAAATAGGTACCATTGCAAAGCAAAAATTAGTAATACCTAACCTATAAATTCCAATATTCTAACAATTTTCAAAAATAAAATGATTTTATTATAAAATAAGTCTCAAAAGTTTTAAATTAAAAGTAAGGGAAAAAACGGGATTTATACGGGATGGACTTGACAAAACAGGATAAAATGTCAGGACGACGGGACACACTGTTGAAATACGGGACAATCAAGTAGAATACGGTCACTCGTGTTCTGCGATATAGTTACAAACTTACAAACATAATAATATAATAGTCAACATAAACCCCTCAAGGTATGGAAGGAAGATTTAAGCCCTAAGTGTGCTTTTCTCGATGTTTTCTCGAATTTAGTGCAGCCGTTTTGACCCCTATAACAATACCATGCATACAAAAAAGTTCATTGATTTTTATATTTATAAAAAATACGTTCATTATTTTTGCTTGATCAATTTCATTTTAATACTGTACACACTATTTTATTTTTATTGTACAGCTATTTGGTCAATATTTCCAGTACTAACTGCAATAATACCTACCATATAAGACAACGTTTATGTTCTTATATGAATTTATATAAAACAAATTATAATTGCAATAAGGCGTAATGGATAGGCCATTCAGTTACACCATTTTTATGAGTTCCGTTTTCAAGTAGTTATCTCATGGTTATTCAGGTTATTGTGATTTTTAGTACATAAATAAAAGACGTACCCGGAATATTAATATTTAGTATTGTGGTCTATGGATTAGCTTCAACTACGGTTAGGTTAGGTTCAAACAAAAATGTACCTTTTTTCTGACGCTTTTCTTTATTATGTATTTTTCATAATCTTAAAAAAAATATATATTTTATTTTAGTTGACTAACTGTGCTCAAGACTGGGCTAATCAAATGGCGAAATTAGGAATATTTGATCATAGAAAAAATAACGCATACGGAGAAAATCTATTCTCGAGTCTAGATTTCAATAATTTAGGCGAACAAGCGGTCGATTCATGGTATAATGAAATAATTAAGTTCAACATCGCTGACGAAGAAACTGAATTGGGTTACAATATTGCAACACGTAAGTAATTAATTTGAAAATAACTTACAGATATATGTTTTTGGAACAAATGCACTTTACCAACCTCTCACGATTTTCAAATTTTTTTTTTGCTGCTTTATACTTAAGACAATGGGGTAAAAATTTTTTACCGGTAACAATTATCTTAGAAGTTATAGCCTTCCAAAGTTTGCAATTTTACGTTATGTGCTAGCGAGCAACTCTCCTTGACTGCCAAAACTGCTTATAAGTTATAACAAATTTTGGCTAAAATACACTTTACCAACCCCCTCACGATTTTCAATTATTTTTTCTTTTTAAACCAATTTTTTTGAGATTCTGAGCTGAGCGATGAATGTATTGATTTTACAATAATGTGTGTTTTTTTTTTAAATTTTGTGTCCCTCATCACTGTCTGGAGCAAAAAACTGCTTCGATTTTCTTCAACAGTATTTTGTTCCATGGAAAAGTGAATCTGGTTGGTGCATTGGGGAGGTCGAAATTCCATATTCCTATTAGTGTAAAAAAAAAAAAACCTATAGGTTATTCTGTAACCAAAAAATCTCAAAAATATAAAACACAATTTTTTTTATAGTTATTTTATGTTTAAATCTGGAGGAAATTACATATTAAATAACCAAGAAAAACGATATTAGTTATTTTGTTGTAATTTTATAATATTAATTTAACTTACCGCCTACCGTATTAACAGTAAGTAATAACAAATATATAAATATAATATAAATTGCCCACACTGATAAACCGTCACCGCTCAGAATCGTTTTTTGTTTACAATGATATTATATCATTGTATTCAAATTTATTACCATCCATTATACAGTGACCTAAAATCCTAAAATCCACAAACCTACTGTACAGCAGATGGACATGCACTTACCTACCTTTTTATGCTTAAAACTATAGTTTAAATTTTTTTACCGAAATCTATTATTTTAGAAGTTACAGCCTTCCAAAGTTTGAGATTTTACGTTTATATGTGCTTGAGCGCAACGCTATTTTCGTAAAAATTAAACACCGGTTGTGGGTTTGTGGCGAGTGTCCGTGTTAAAATGTTTCAGTTGATAAAGTTTTTAAAAAAAAAGTATACAGATAACTTAGGTATTATTTTTTTAAATTTTAGATCATATGACACAATTGTTATGGAAATCATCAAATAAAATGGGTGTTGGTGTTTCGAAAAATTCGAATGGTATGTACAATGTTGTGGCAAACTACGATCCCAGCGGAAATGTGAGAGGTTTTTTCAAAGAAAATTTACCCGAAATCAAACAAGAAGACATTGAAGAGGCGATAGAATCACATAATTCACAAACGGAATCGGAACCAAAATCAATAAGTTGGTCTTCGAGTTCAATACCTCCATCAGAATCAGAATGGAATTATGAGCCATATTACAATTAAGATTGTTAGGTATATCTAACAGCAACGGAAACTTTCTAAAATAGTTGGAACCAGAATTATACATAGTATTATAATATTATTAAAATATATAATACCAATTTTAATGCGTTCATTTAAAACTATAAATTGTGAATATTTATACTTTAATTTATTATTAAACAATAAAAATTGTGTTCTTAGTTGTCAGAGTATCAGACTCATTTAAACTCTAAATAACTTCATAACTCATAAGTATTCATAACGTAATCATTTATCACTAATCAGTAGGTACCTATATTTTTGTTGGGAACAGTTAAGGTAATTATATATTTATGAGTAATTAAACATTGAATTTTTAATTTAAATTATGCATTAGATAAATGGTTTAATTAACTATAATAACTACATAGAACCCAAAACATTTATCAATTCTATAATTAATGGAAGTTTAAAATTAGTATTGTGAGAATTTTTATTATAATTTATTCAATGATATTTGAAGCTAGCCTATAATTGTATATTTTTAATTTTTATTAATCATTACACTTTGATAATGGATACATTTTAGATTCCAGGCGGGTCTCAACGTATTGATTGTACACCATTGTGTTGTTTTTTTTGTCTTTATAGTTTATACCCTTTTTATGGTAGAAAAATTATTCAATTTTTAACTTCAATATTTATTCTGGACTCTGGTAGGAAGTGAATTTAGATGGTTCTTTGGGGGTTCAAAAGTGAAATATTATTGCACTGACGTATTGCATATCGAGTACCTATCTATACTAAAATTATAAAGCTAAAGAGTCTGTATGTTTGAATGAGCTTATTTCAGGAACTATTGGACCGATTTAAATAAAAGTTATAAGAATAAAAGGAAGTATCGTTTAGACTCAGATGTTTTGGTTAGCTTCTTTTTTCAATCCCTTTAAGTTACTATGGTTACTAATGATGGTATAGTTTTGAAATTCAGGAGAATATAATTTCACTCCAAAGACGTGCAGGTGATTAATATTAATTATTGTAATGTCAAGTTTAATGATTAGTCAATGTAATATAGGGTATAAAAAAAATCATATGCCTAACAATTAACAGTAAAAAATATTGGTCTCATTTGAAAAAAATAAATGTGGATCGCCACGAGACACTTCTTAAATGCGGTATAAAAATCTATACAATTTAAAATAACATGATGGTCTATGAGCATATTTAAAATTATAACTTGAATACATTTATTATTAAAGGAAAAAACGAGGGTGAGCATGCTGGTAAATCCCTCTGTATATTCTCGTATTTAATTAACTGGCCCAATTTGAATTGAAATGTATTCCAGACATACGACCTATATAGGCTATAGTAAGCGTAAAAAATCTCGTATCTAAGGAAATATATATAAATAGTTTATTTGTCTTTAATCCCGAGTTATTTTCTGCATAGCGCGAATCAGTTATAATCTAACATAACTTTCGTACCTACTGTACAGAATTTCAGATGTCTTCGACAAATATCATGAGTTCGAACAAAGAACGTGCGGCGGCGAGTCCATTGATCAGGCAGTACTCTGCTTCTATGCCGAATATAATGCTTTTGACACCGGCTGAAACTGACGAAAAGAAATTTCTAGCGCCGACCAAGTCGAAATCCCTACCGGCAGAACTCGATGTGCCTGTGCCGGACACTTGCAGTGTGGATCTGCAGAGTACCGCGGACGCTGAGATAAAGGACCTGCAGGTGGTGATAACGAACTCGGCGGTCAGGCCTAGGAACCGTATCGTGTCTTCGACCGTTTCGTTAAGGCGGCTCTAAACGATTGGATTTTTCATGCATTTAGACCAATAAGCTGGCGAAAAATACACATACTTCTAGTAGTCAAATTTTAATTTTGAATACTTATTTGGATTCGTTAGCCTCTTTTCTATGATCTGTAGGAAAAACTTTTTCATCTTTTTGTCTAGTTAGCACTTAAAAGTGCAAGTTAAATTTGAGAAATCAAGCAGTCATTTGGAACCATAATATACGTAAATTATCTAAAATATCCAAAATCAGTTTCCTACAAATCATAGAAAAGAGGCTGACGAATTCAAATAATTTTTCAAAATTGAAATTGGACTACTAGAAGTATGTGTATTTTTCGCCAGCTTATTAGCATTTTTCACTGTTGTGAGTGTACAAAAATATTTTTCGAGAGTGATAACGTTGACTTGTGCATGCGCGTACGTGTGCTATTGAACCGTGTGCCCGCAGCCGGGCCATATAAAATCTATTGTTATCGAGTTTGAATTTCTTCGAATTTCACACTAATAATTATTTACGACTAACACATAGATTACGGGCGGCGACGACAAAATTAGAAATTGCCTAAATTGTTCCCCTTAAATAATAGCCACTAAGAGCCGCCTTAAACGACATGGATTTGTACTTGGCAAAGAGTCGTGTCAGGTGCTATGCCAAAATCCGACTGAAAAAACTCTATTCCCCCCCCCCCAAACATCATGTCGACGACGCTAGAAACGGCCAACCGTGTGCCGCCGTCCGCCACTAGTAGTCCTGCAGCAGATGACGGAGTTGAAAACCCTGCTGACCGAATTATGGAATTATGTAGCGATTCCGATCAACTATGTGTATAGAAACTGCAGGACACATATGTGACAATAACGAACCAGGTGCAGGTGACCACAAGCACTGCGACGATCATAGCCATAAGAACCAATCGTTTTGATAACGTTCTAAGAAATTTTTCAGGCGCTTATTATGCTGCACATCTAGTCCCGAGGAATAATATTGCTGTTGTGCCATTGCAGACGCTGCTGTATAGAATATACGCGGTATAAGTAAAATATATATCTTACAATATTTTTTTTAAATTATTATCTCGACGCTCTGTCGAAGATGTATACGATATGTATAAATTGTATAAACTTTATAAAATGTATAATACCTATGTATAAAATGTATGATATGTATAAATTGTATGAACTCTATAAACTGTATAAAATGTATAATATGTATAAAATGTATGATATGTATAAATTGTATAAACTCTATAAACTGTATATAATGTATAATATGTATAAAATGCAAAGGTGGGCAAGTTAATGAAAATAATTAACTCAAGTTAAATTAAGTTAAGAGGACACAAGATCGATTAGTTAGCAGTTAACAAATTATAAATTTAACTCGATAAGTTAAAAGTTCATATAGAAAAAAATATTAACTTAACTCAGTTTAAAAAAAGTTAATCTATTTTATATTCTGAGTGAAACGATGAATGTATTGATTTTAGTGATTTTACAATGATGTGTGTTTTTTTTTAATGTTTTTTTTATTTTTGTGTCTGTCATCACGTTTTAGGACAGTAAAAGTGCTTGGATTTTCTTCAACAGTATCTTTTCTGATAGGAAAGTGAATCTAGTTGGTACTTTGGGGGGTCAAAAGTAAAAATTTCCCAGTAGTTTTCACAAGCACCGGGAAAAACAACATAAAAATTAAGGAAAAACGGGAATTTTTACGCAAAATCGGTTTTCCAAAAAATCGATTTTGATTTTTGGTGTAACTCTAAAAGAAATGAACGTATATACATGAATTTTTCACTGGTTGTTTATATTTGCATTTTGTATACACGATAACATTTTCAAAATATTTTGATTTATTTTGAACTGTTTAGGGACATTTTCATTTTCCATCTTTTTTTTAGTTTTTTTTCTAAAAATATTAATAAAATTGTATTTGTTGGTTGCGAAAAGTTGAAAATTTAATAGAAGGCTCCTAGTATATTGTTTCAAAGGCAGATGGAAAAATATGAAAAATCCTTATCCACAATTTTTTTTTATAATCATTTAAAGTTCAAAAATTGATAAAATATGGAAAAATCACGACAATTAGCAAATTATTTTGAGTTAAGAATTCGTAAAAATTTTTCTTTTTAAATCTAAGTTTTGAAAATGGAATACAAGATTCCTTATAAGATTATCTACCTTTATCAAAAAAAAAAAATGTCTATAAGAAAGTCAAATTAAATTTTTATGAGCGTCTGAAATTCAAATTTTTACAACATTGGATATTCACTCGATTTCTCATGTATACGGTGCTGTGTTTTCCGCAGAAACACGTCAACTCTCCAGTGAGTTGTCTGTTTCATCACTCTCAAGATAAATAATAGTATGTCAACCAATACTCCATAGTCGTCGGTACAAGATAGGTTTGGATATCTTTTGTACTTAAAACTAAAATGTCTAAGCGTTCAAGTTCTTCTTAATGGAAGCATTTTAAAAACGGAAGTTTATATCGCCACAAGGACACTTCTAACGCAATACGAAAATCTCAAAAGTTCTAAAATGTGGTCTTCAATTATATTTAAAAACATCTAAAAATCAGATATTATCGTCATCTTAATTCGCAAATCACTTAACTCCATATTGACTAGTTTTCAGGAGAAAGGAAAAACATTTCATCGGAAAATTTCCTATCTCATCTCTCAATTCGCAAATATCCTATCTTCATAATTTTTACCATGCTAATATGGAGTTATGATTTTTTCTAATTGCTAAAATCATCACATTGGAGATACGACCATTTCTATTAATAATCAATGTCATATGGAGGATAAAATGTTACAATTTATCAGTTACAACTTTATCATACAATGCAGTTTTTTCCTTAATTTTAATCACAATTAATTCCAAAATCACATTTTTGGAGTTAGGACAATATTGCGAATTAGGCTGATGATATGTATATTAATTTTAATAAATATTATTGTATACAAAAAATTGGGGTGTACAATTATACGCCATCGAGTCCAACATTAGAACTCGGATCACCTATATAGTATTACAGTATAAAATACCGACTCTATGTGTGGGGTGTGCTAATAACACGCCTGGAGAGTCTTCTAAGTACTACTCACGATTTTTAACAGTACCTATTAATGTTTACCTACCACTGAAGCTCAAACTTACTACGTGGTGTTTGCCGCAGAGACGTCTACATGGTTGCACACTTGCACGTTTATTTCAGTGTGTATTCGGTTATTTCCATATCACGATGCAGAACAAATAACATTATCCGCAGGCATATAACACCGAGCTGTTTGCGAATAGGTAAATACTATAATATAATTCGTAACTAGTCAAAACGGAGAGGCGTGGACTTATAATATATCTCTCATATAATATTATGCGCACCCGTACATGGCTCGATTTTGGGGTGGTTAAACGGAAGGTGAAGTAAATCATTTGTCAACCACTCTAGTATAGATAATTTTTAATTTTTTTACTATCATGAAAATCGATGACATCCATGACAATACAATATCCACCTGCGTGACCATATAGGATTATTACATATATTTATGCAAAGCGAATGAGGTAGATATAATATATAGGTATTAATACATAGTACATACTTTATAATAATACGTTTAATATGAGTAACATAATAATATTAATAATATTAATTTAATTAATACAGAACAAAACAGGTGCCGAAGAGCCGACGATGGTACAGACGTACAGTGCATGAAATACGTGAGGCAAACCTACACTAACTTGGTACAAATGACAATGGAGGACATGATAAACGGTTTCAGAATAGTACCAGCGAACACAAAAGTGAGATAACGGTGGTAGAGGAGGGGATGTTTAAAAACCTTTTAAACTCTATATAATATACATATTACTGGTCTATCATGTCAATAGAACCACAACAACAAAGAAACCGCCTGAAAAATTTCTTTGTCTGGTGCCAAAATGAACGACGAGGACGTGTGTGTCTCGGACTTTCTGCTTTCCGTACATCGCTGACTTCATCGGTGACCTGCTGAAACTTTAGATTTGGCGTTGATCGCCACCCAATATCTGCAGCTGTCTCGCCAGCTAATTTTGGATGTATGCGGATGTCTGGCTCAGATACACAGAGCCTGCCGTCCAGAAAACCTTTGGAATCAAAATTTTTCGACGATTCCGATTTCCGTACATCGCTGGTGACCTGCTGAAACTTTAGATTTGGCGTTGATCGCCAACCAATATCTGCAGCTGTCTCGCCAGCTAATTTTGGATGTACGGGGATATTTGGCTCAGATACACAGAGCCTGCGGTCCAGAAAACCTTTGGAATCAACATTTTTCGACGATTCCGGTCTTCGTATATCATTGGTACGGTTAAACTTTAGATTTGGCGTTGATCGCCATCCAATATCTGCAGCTGTTTCGCCAGCTAATTTTGGATGTATGCGGATGTTTGGCTCAGATACACAGAGCCTTCCGTCCAGAAAACCTTTGGAATCAACATTTTTCGACGATTCCGGTTTCCGTACATCGCTGGTGACCTGCTGAAACTTTAGATTTGGCGTTGATCGCCACCCAATATCTGCAGTTGTCTCGCCAGCTAATTTTGGATGTATGCGGATGTTTGGCGTTGATCGCCACCCAATATCTGCAGCTGTCTCGCCAGCTAATTTTGGATGTATGGGAATGTTCGGCTCAGATACACAGAACCTGCCGTCCAGAAAACCCTCGGAATCACAATTTTTCGACGGTTCCGGTCTTCGTATATCATTGGTACGGTTAAACTTGAGATTTGGCGTTGATCGCCATCCAATATCTGTCGATTTGGCTGAGGAATTTTCACATATCGCAGCCATGTTAGGCATAGATACACATCTATATGACATATTTATTTGAAAATATTATATAGGCACAATTAACGGAGAAGATTATACAGAAATACGTATAAGAATGAAATTTATCCGTAATGAACACAAGAAATGAATATTGACAAGTGGTAACTATGTGACATGGATATGAATTG